GAGTCCCAAGGAGCAGTTAGGGGCAGGGGTCCCAGGAGGGGGCAATCAGGGGACAAGGAGCAGTGGCGCTTAGATAGGGGGTGGGGTCCTGGGGGGCAGTTAGGGGCAGGGGTTCTGGGAGGGGGTGAGCGGGGGGGGTTGGGGTTTCTGTGGGGGGCAGTCAGAGGGAGTGGATGGGGGCAGGGTGGGGCTACCCTCCCTCCCCGTGGAGTGTCCTATTTTTTGAATGTTAAAATATGGTATCCCTACTCACAGTGCAGCTTTCCATTCACAGCAGGCTGCAGCATGAGGTCTCAGCTACCTCACTTCCTCCCCCTCTTTCCTGTTGGTAGCCGCCAAAGGAATGCTGGGAAATGTAGTTCTTTCCCTGCTCCAGGGCTGGCTCTATAGGCAGGGAGCTAACCAAGGAACTACAGCTCCCAGGGCCCCCTGTTGGTTCTCAGCTCCCATACTTGGATCCCTGCCGCCCCTGCAAATGGGCTGCCCCAACCATGTGCTTACTTTGCTGGTGCCTAGAGCCACCCCTGCCTCCGAGGCTCTTAAGCTATGTGATCCATTCTCAGGTCCAACTCCCATCCTCAAACCAGGACAACCCTCTTCATTGCCGAGTCCTTCACTTGGGCCTTAGAGGTATTTTGTCACATGGCTTGACATTATATGACATCACATAGTGTATTACTGCTAGCGACACCTCCTGAAACAATGTAACAGTAATAAAAACAATACAACAGTGACAAAACGAAATAAGTTTCTAAATGAAAAGTTTGTTTTGAAATGAAATTTTGAAATTTTTCTGATGCTCCACGTGCAAAACAAACTCTTCAGAATTCCCATTGTCTGAGTAATTTAAAAGCCTTTGGTTTCCTTTCAGTTTAGAAGGAAAACCAATTTTGTAATGTTGAACTGTCCCATGCAATGGGAATTCTGCGTGTGACCCAGCTTTAGCCCTGCTCACAGACAATTCTACTCCAATCAAGGGTGGCGACAACCTGGAAATTTTACACACCAGAAGGGACAGGATTTCCCTCCTGGGCCACTAATAAGGAACTGATTGCATCTGAAACTGGAATTCCAGCAATTCTAGATTATCTGCTGCATGTGAGGTCCCCAAACCATCTGCACCTCTCAGAAAATGAACCAAGCACCTATCTCTGTTCCCCATCAGCAGCGGGAAGGGAGAACTATATTTTCCCATTCCATTTGCTAGATTTTTAAAAGGCCTTATCAATGTTTCTCTCATCCCCCACATTCCCGTTAGGGAAGCTACTTTTCCCGGGACTTAAATCTCATTTTAACAAAACCTCATTTGGTCCATCCTCTGAGTCACTGAAAAATGCCTCCCTTAAGTCTCTTAAAACTGCCTTTCGATTTGCCATAGCCTCTGCTGGGAGGGCCAGTGAACTACAAGCAATAATCTCCATCCACTCTATCCAGCAATCCACAAAGACAAAATGACTGTGAGGCCCCAGTTGAATTTCATGCCTAAGGGAGTTAGAGAGACAAGGTGGGTGAAGTAATATCTTTCATGGGACCAACTTCTGTTGGGGAGAGAGACAAGCTCTTGAGCGACACAGAGCTCTTCCTCAGGGCTGGGAAAGGGACTCAGAGTGTCACAGCTAAATACAAGGCAGTATCTCATTTCCATCACAAACAGTCTATCCATTATATTCTTCCCTAGATCCCATTCCCCTCCCAAGGAAACCCATATGCACACCTTAGATATTGTGGTAGAAAGCCAAACAGACATTTGTAGCTCTCTGGGAAAGATGTCAAGTAAAACCTCTCAAAACAGACACATTCTCTGTGGGTTAAGAGCAGGGCCGGTGCAAGGATGTTTCACGCCCTAGGCGAAACTTCCACCTTGCACCCTCCCCGAGCCCTGCGGCAGCTCCCCATCCCCCCCTACCCTGAGGCGCCCCCCCACAGCAGCTCCCCACTCCCCCCGCCCTGAGGCGCTCCCCCCTGTGGCAGCTCTCCCCCCACGGGGAGCCATTCGGCAGCTCCCCACCCCAGCTCACCTCTGCTCTGCCCCCTCCCCGAGCCCTGCGGCAGCTCCCCACCCCTCCTCTGCCCTGAAGCTCCCCGCCCATGGCAGCTCCCCCCGCCCGGGGAGCCGTGCGGCAGCTCCCCACTCCAGCTCATCTCTGATCCGCCTCCTGCCCGAGCACGCCGTCGCCGCTCCACTTCTCCCACCTCCCAGGCTTGCGGCGCCAATCAGCTGTTTGGCGCTGCAAGCTTGGGAGGGAGAGAAGCAGAGCGGGGCGGCGTGCTCAGGGGAGGAGGCGGAGCAGAAGTGAGCTGGGGCGGGGAGCGGTTCCCCTGTATGCGGCCCCCCCCCTTACTTGCTGCAGGCGGCCCTCCCCGCGCCCCCTGCCCCAGCTCCAGCTCCCTCCACCGAAATGCCAACGACAACCGGGGCGGCCAAAGATCCGGCCACTGCCGAAGAAAATGCCGCCCCCCAAATGCTAGTGCCCTAGGCGACCGCCTAGGTTGCCTAATGGGTTGCACCGGCCCTGGTTAAGAGGTGCATAGGGCTATTAAATTAATGGAGATATCCTATCTCCTAGAACTGGAAGGGACCTTGAAAGGTCATTGAGTCTAGCTCCCTGCCTTCACTAGCAGGACCAAGTACTGATTTTGCTCCAGATTCTTAAGTGGCCCCCTCAAGGATTGAACTCACAACCCTGGGTTTAGTAGGCCAATACTCAAATCACTGAGCTATCTCTTCTCCCCACCTTTAGGAAAGTGCAGGTTCCTGCATGGATAAGATCTCACTCCACTACAGCACCTGCAGCACCATAGCTAGCTTTGGGCATCAGGACTGTGTGGTTCAGGAGAAGGAATGGAGGTGGTTGGTGGGAGCACTCCTGTATGCAGAAGAGGTTGTCTGACCAATGACACTGTGAGAATGATCATGCACCCCCCCTGGAGGCAGCTTTCAATGAGGGTTCTGTGTGCTCACCACTGGGGCGACTCCCACATTGCAAATCAGAACTGCCAACACCCAGTGTTCAGAAATCAAGGGTCAGGTCTAAAAAATCCTGAGAGTGACTTAAATATCATGAGATTTGAATGAGAATACAGCTGGGGGAGGGGTGTTGGTTTGGTGTTGGCGTATTTAGGGCTCATCCTTCAAGCTTCTCTTCCCAGCCATGTAGGTCAGAGGCTTACTTTTCGTACATGAAAAGTGAGAGTCTCGGGTAATAACCTCAATGCAGATGTTGGGGCTTTAAGAAAAACACTCAGTAGTCTGAGACTCATAATAGACTCACACAAGTTGGCCAGACTGTGAATGCACAGGGACGATTCTCTCATTACCACAGCTCCTGGTATGTAAACCGCTCTTCTTCAGCCTCTGGATCGTGAGCATCGGTGAGCGAGAGGTTTTTGTCCATGACATCCCTGACACGTGAGCTAACTGACATGCAGGGGACTCCCAGGAGAGTTTACCCATTCGCGCCTCGTTCCCCCATCTTTACCCTTCCGGCCATGGCACATCCCATTATTCCTCACTGCCCCTCTCTATGACCCACCCACAGCGTTGTGCTTTCCTTCCCCCTGCAGAGAGCCTCCCGATGCAGAGCCTGCACTGCTACAATGACTACACCTCCCGGACGACCTGCACGTGGCAGGAGTGCACAGCGGCACGTCGCTTCATCCAGGTGACTCTTCACCATGAGGACAATATAGACAAGTAAGTGCCTGACCCCTGCTCTGCTGCAGAAGGACACAGGAGGCCTGTGGCTGCTGAACGTAAGAGGTGGGAATGGGAGGAGGAAAAGGGATCCGAGCTGACAGCTATGCTTTGAGGAGCACGTGGACACCTGTGCTGGCCTTGCTGGGGGGTGGAAGTTGGAGACACTTTTAGGTCTGCATTGGGAGGATGGGGAGATACAGGAAGATGCGTTACTCAGTTTATTTTCATTACCTTTTCAAGTATCGGGGGTAGACGTGTTAGTCTGTATCCACAAAAACAATGAGGAGTCCAGTGGCACCTTAAAGACTAACAGATTTATTTGTGCATAAGCTTTCGTGGGTAAAAAACCCACTTCTTCAGATGCGTGGAGTGAAAATTACAGATGCAGGCATTATTATACTTACACATGAAGAGAAGGGAGTTACCTTACAAGTGGAGAACCAGTGTTGACAGGGCCAATTCAATCAGGGTGGATGTAGTCCACTCCCAATAATTGATGACGTGGTGTCAATACCAGGAGAGGGAAAGTTGTTTTTGTAATGAGCCAGCCACTCTCAGTCCCTATTCAAGCCCAAATTAATTATGTTAAATTTGCAAATGAATATTAGTTCTCTTTGAAGTCTGTTTTTGAAGTTTTTTTGTTCAAGTATGGCTACTTTTAAATCTGTTATAACATGTCCAGGGAGATCGAAGTGTTCTCTTACTGGCTTTTGCATGTTATCATTACTGATGACCGATTTGTGTCCATTTATTCTTTTACGTAGAGACTGTCTGGTTTGGCCAATGTACATGGCAGAGGGGCATTGCTGGCACATGATGGCATATATCACATTAGTAGATGTGCAGATGGATGAGTCCCTGATGGTGTGGCTCATGTGGTTGGGACCTCTGATGGTGTCACTGGAGTAGACATGGAGACAGAGTAAGCAATGGGGTTTGTTACAGGGATAGGTTCTTGGGTTAGTGTTTCTGTGGTGTGGTGTGTAGTTGCTGGTGAGTATTTGCTTCAGGTTGGGGGGCTGTCTGTAAGTGAGGACTGGCCTGCCTCCCAAGCTCTGAGAGAGTGAGGGATCGTTTTCCAAAATAGGTTGTAGATCGTTGATGATGTGCTGGAGAGGTTTTAGCTGGGGGCTGTATGTGATGGCCAGTGGTGTTCTGTTATTTTCCTTATTGGGCCTGTCCTGTAGTAGGTGACTTCTGCGTACCCATCTCGCTCTGTCAATCTGTTTCCTCACTTCCCCAGGTGGGTATTGTAGTTTTAAGAATACTTGATAAAGATCTTGTAGGTGTTCGTCTCTGTCTGAGTGATTGGAGCAAATTTGGTTGTATCTTAGGGCTTGGCTGTAGACAATGGATCGTGTGATGTGTCCTGGATGGAAGCTGGAGGCATGTAGGCAAGTTTAGCGGTCAGTAGGTTTACGGGATAGGGTGGTGTTTATGTGACCATCACTTATTTGCACTGTAGTGTACAGGAAGTGGATCTCTTGTGTGGACTGGTCCAGGCTGAGGTTGATGGTGGGGTGGAAATTGTTGAAATCCAGGTGGAATTCTTCAAGGGCTTCCTTCCCATGGGCCCATATGATGAAGATGTCATCAATGTAGCGCAAGTAGAGGAAAGGTGCTAGGGGATGAGAGCTGAGGAAGCGTTGTTCTAAGTCAGCCATAAAAATGTTGGCATACTGTGGGGACACGCGGGTACCCATAGCAGTGCCACTGACTTGAAGGTATAAGTTGTCTCCAAATCTGAAATGGTTGTGAGTGAGGACAAAGTCACAAAGCTCAGCCACCAGGTGTGCCGTGGCCTCATCGGGGATATTGTTCTTGACAGCTTGTAGTCCATCTCATGTGGAATATTGGTGTAAAGAGATTCTATGTCCATGGTGGCCAGGGTGGTGTTTTCAGGAAGATCACCAATGCATTGTAGTTTCCTCAGGAAGTCGGTGGTGTCTCGAAGATAGCTGGGAGTGCTGGTAGCGTAGGATCTGAGGAGAGATTCCAAATAGCCAGATACTCCTGCTGTAAGAGTGCCAATGCCTGAGATGATGGGGCGTCCAGGGTTTCCAGGTTTATTGATCTTGGGTAGCAGATAGAATACCCCTGGTCAGGGCTCTAGGAGTGTGTCCATGTAGATTTGTTTCTGTGCTATAGTAGGGAGTTTCTTGAGCAGATGGTGTAGTTTCTTTTGGTAACCCTCAGTAGGATCGAAGGATAATGGCCTGTAGAATGTGGTGTTGGAGAGTTGCCTGGCAGCCTCCTGTTCATAATCTGACTTGTTCATTATGACTACAGCACCTCCTTTGTGAGCCCTTTTGATTATAATGTCAGAGTTGTTTCTGAGGCTGTGGGTGGCGTTGCATTCTGTACAGGGCAAGCAATGCTGTTTGTTCACTTTCAGCCTGTGCACGTCTGCGGAAGCACTCTATGTAGAAGTCCAGTCTGTCATTTCGACTGTTAGGAGGAGTCCACGCAGAATTCTTCTTCGTGGGGGTGATGGGGCAGAAAGAGAGTCCCCAAGATAGGACAGATTCTTCCGCCGGGCTAAGTGTGTGGTTGGATAAATTAACAATATTGTTGGGTGAGTTAAGGGCACCACTGTTGTAGCCCCCTGTGGCATGCAGGAGTTTAGATAGTTTACTGTTCTTTTTCCTCTTTAGAGAAGTGATGTGTATGTTGTAAAAGGCTTGTCTCATTTTTGTAAAGTCCAGCCACGTGGAAGTTTGTGTGGAAGGTTGGTTTTGTATGAGAGTGTCCAGTTTTGAGAGCTCATTCTTGATCTTCTCCTGTCTGCTGTACAGGAAGCTGATCAGGTGGTTCCTCAGTTTCTTTGAGAGTGTGTGGCACAATCTCTCACCATAGTCAATGTAGTATGTCGATTGCAATGGATTTTTTACCTTCAGTCCATTACCTTTTCTATCACTCCCTTGATTTTTCCGGGGGATCCCAGGTGTGAGTGATGGCAGGGCCTGTTAGTTTACTGCACCTGGTGTGGAGAAAGAGGCATTAGAGTACAGCTGGGTTGAGGTTCATTCATCAGCAGAAGAGAGAGGGATGGTTCCCCACTCCCAAACTTTCCCCTGGCTCTTCTTTGTTGCCATGGGACCCAGAAATGTTGGGGGACACATGACCCCACATGACCCCCTATGCATCGCCTCTGGCTCACCACCTTCCGTACCAACTGCAAGGCTCATTTTTTTGACGAGCCTTCTCTAATATAAATATAATATAAATTCAGAGCAACATGTGTATATGTTCTCCCCTGAAGCTAGGGCAACACAATAACTAGCAGATGCATATTCACATTTCTTAAAGCTTTACTGGAAGGTGCTCGGATACGACAGCAATGAGTGCAGTATAAGAACTTATATTGAGTAGAATAGAATAAATGTGGGGAAGATTTCAGGAGCCTAATTTGGGATTTTCTATCTGTATCTAAATCAGCTCCTCCTCACCCTCTTTCTCTGCACATAGGAGAAGCACACAGATCCCATGTGAGCCTCAGGGAGGCAAGGAGTTGCCGATCTGCCAGGACTCCTGTGTCTGCTGGAGCTGCCACAGGAACAGCACCCATTTTGGACTTCGGGTGAACGACAATTACAGTTTCAAACCTGATCGGTTGCTGCAGGCTGAGCTGAACGTCAGCCTCTTCCAGAATGGTAAGGGAAAGACATCCACCACTCTCTTCTCTCCAGGATTATTTTTGATCCTTTCACATGAATACTTCTCCTTCTGCGCAGGTCCCCCCACCCTATCCAAGAATCCTGATCCCCAGAGTGGACTGGGTTAAATCAAAACCATTTACATTTTAATCTTGATTGAAATCAACAAGCAGCAAACCTTGATTTAAATCCTCGATTTTAATTTTGTTTTGTGTTTGTACATTTTTAGTTATTTTTCTAAAGAGATGTTGATTTTCATTGGTTGGTAACCATTAACACATCTTGCTTTGCAACTAAATATAACCTTTCAAAAGGTGACAGAGATGTAGTAATCTATCAGCACTGAATGTCTTTTAGGGCTAATCCCAGGTTGACCCTAGGAACCTCTGCTTTTCTTTCTTAGCTCCAGCCCTTGTCACAGTCCAAACAGTAGAGATGATAAATCTTCATGCCCACTATTTTGATTTCCCTCTTACAGCATTCAAACCGATGGGACAAGGCCTTCTGTCTAACACCTATCTTGAACACTACTAACATAGTAGTTTCCAGCTATGAATTTGTCAGTGCTCAGCTGATGCTTACAGACTTTACAGGAGCTGGCAGCTGGTTTACCAGCATCACAATATCTTTTTAAACGCATTTATATAGCCTAACATACATTTATTCAGATTCCTACTTACTTTTTGTATTATGTTACAAAAAGGTGAATGATGCATTTCTTATTTACTAGGTTACGTTAAATTTTTACTTGTGATAGATATCAAGCTCAATTCGGATAGAAATTCAGATTCAATTAAAAAGGCACAAAAACAGCATTTTAATTTTTATTATGATTACTATAATTAGTTACAGAGTAGCAGCCGTCTTAGTCTGTATCCGCAAAAAGAACAGGAGTACTTGTGGCACCTTAGAGACTTAGGGTACGTCCAGACTACCCGCCAGATCGGCGGGTAGTGATCAATCTATCAGGGATCGATATATCGCGTCTCATCTAGACGCGATATATCGATCCCCGAACACGCTCCCGTCGACTCCGGTAGCAAAGACGACGGGGAAGCCGCGGCCGTCGATCCCGTGCCGTGAGGACGGGAGGTAAGTCGAAATAAGATACGTCGACTTCAGCTACGCTATTCCCGTAGCTGAAGTTGCGTATCTTACATCGCCTCCTCCCTCCCCCAGTGTAGACCAGCCCAAACAAATTTATTTGAGCATAAGCTTTCGTGGGCTACAGCCCACGCAGCCCACGAAAGCCTATGCTCAAATAAATTTGTTAGTCTCTAAGGTGCCACAAGTATTCCTGTTCTTTTTGTATAATTAGTTAAATACAACTACTTTATGTGTGCTGGATACATAAGAAAAAAAAGTTTGTCAAAACATGTTTTGCATTTAAAATTAACAGAATTGTTAAACAACAGAAGTAGTAAGTGACTTTAATTCATTGTTTCAGATCACCACATTCTTCAAGATTTTAAAACTAGTAGATCTCGTCCTCTCACACCTAGTTTTTATACAGAGATTGAAAGAGCAAAACAAGCTTTCCTGCTTTTTCAACTCCAATTGGTTTCTTAATGTGGAATGAACTGAACTAGTTGAATAAACAGAAATGAAGAAAATATTCTCTAAGCACCAACAGAAGAGATTACTGCTGTCAAAAGCTGCTTTTAGCACTGTAACAAATTCTGAATCCAGGAGCTTAGCCAGTGACTTCCACCAGTTTACAGTCTCACAGTCTTTAAAACTTGGTAGCAAATATATATTGCTTAATATTATTATTTTAATTGATTAAAATAATTATAATAGATTATGGTAAGTTTAGGCTTTAAGATAGTTGTTATAATTTCACATTTAATTTTAAATAGGCTTTAAAAAAAAAAGCTGTATTTAATTAAAACTAAAAAAATGATTTAAATAAAAAATAATTGTAATTATTCCCATGAAGCCTCATGGGGTACACCATCACAGGATGTTGATTTTCATTGGTTGGTAACCATTAACACAAGTTGCTTTGCAACTAAATATAGCCTTTCAAAAGGTGACAGAGATGTAGTAATCTATCAGCACTGAATGTCTTTTAGGGCTAATCCCAGGTTGACCCTAGGAACCTCTGCTTTTCTTTCTTAGCTCCAGCCCTTGTCAGAGTCTAAACAGCAGAGATGAAAAATCTTCATGTCCACTATCTTGATTTTAGGGTGACCAGACAGCAAAAAGGCTGTATTTAATTAAAACTAAAAAAAGATTTAAAGAAAAAATAATTTTAATTAAAAAAAATTGATTTGTATCCACCCTGTCCCCAACCCTTCACCTTACTTCTGCATGTGAGCTATAATTCTGCTAGGAACTGAGTTTCCGTTTCCATTGTTACACCTGTTTAACAGCTCCTCACTTACAAGATTCCAGATAGATAAATAGATTCCTTCCTTACCTGCCTACAATGGAAAAGCCGGATGTATTCCTCCCAGCTGACCCACACCCTTGTTCTAGCTGGGTTTCTCTGCCATTAGGAAAAAAACTGATGTCAAACCAACCTTTTCACTCAGAAAACTACACAGTAATATGTCTCCACCTTAAAATGAATGCTGGCTGCCACGGGTCTACCTGACAACACTCACCTCCCTATTCTCCTTCTGTTCTGTTCATCGCTATTTTCCATAAGGCCTTGGCAACTTTATTTCTTTCACTGCCAAGTCCAAACAAGCCTTCCCCCCCCCCCCCCCCCCAGTCCTGAGAAATCCCACAAAAGCCTGATATTAGGCAGATCTGGGTCCTTCCTTATGGAAATAAGACTTAGAAAGGCCCTCTGCCCTCTCCTCATCTACTAATAACCACAGCCCATTAGTCCCTTTCCATTTCCAGTCCAGACCCTCCCACCTCAGAAATGTTCGATCAATGGCACAGAAGCAGCCTGGGAAGCAGCTGGAGGGAGAAAGAGAAGATACCGGCTGCCCAATGCATTGGAGCTTGACATGACCTACAAGCGGGAGTGGGAATCCTGGGAGGTAGGCATGAGACATGCTTAGGCATTGGCATGTGCTGTTCTTGGTTGCACCTTTTAGAGGGCAGAAGACAAACCTTTGCAATCCTCTGAAACCTGCTTGGCTGCCGCTGAACCCAGCCGATCCTCTGAAACCCGAATGGCCCAGAGAGTGGGTCCGTGCACGCTGCAGCTAGCTGTGTGTGCATCTTACATATCCTGTGCTGTCCAGCCATGGCCTTGGCTGGTCAAGACCAGAGATCTAGCAAGTAAAAAGCAGCCTGTGTGCTATAAGAGCAATGATCCCTGCACAAGGAGCATCTGGCTCCACCTTACCCAGGGATCACAGCGCTGGCTGTGCTTGGCTGAGCTGGATTACCCAAGAAAAGGGTCCTCCACCCACCTCTCTCACAAGTCTCTCTCTCTCTCCCTCCACCTTCCCTCACCTCTCGCTATCTCATCCCCACTGACAGAAATCTTCCTCAGTGTCAGTTGCAAAATCCTCCCATTGCCTGCTGAGTTGTGATGCCCTTGTGCCAGGCAGCACCTATGTAGCTCGTGTGCGATCCAAGCCAAGCCAGGGTGCTGGTTGGTCTGGGCAGTCCGGTGAATGGAGCACTGCCGTGTCCTGGAAGTCCCAGGAAGGTAATTCTGGAGGCCGAGGGGCCGTGGGGGGAAAGAGGGACATGAATAGATGCTGGGAGCAAAGGGATATTGTGCTTCGCTTCCAGAGGATTTGGGGGCTGAGCTGATGACATTGGAGAATCTCTAGAATTTGATGAAAATGGTCCAGTTTCACTGGTGTTCTCTTATTTGAAGTGAATTTGGTGTCACTGACAGGTACCAGAGCAGTAGCCACAGAGACTGCAGCGCTCTGGTTAGTTGCACGGCACAGGAGCACGGCACCAGTCCCAGTGTGGCACTGGTAGGGGCAGTACAGGCTCCTTACGCACACTTCCCCTCCATTGCACCTGAAACCCCTCGCCTTGATGGGGCCCTTCTAGGTGTGCTCAGTATCCGGCCTCTCAGTAAAAGGGCCAGTGGGTGCCAGTGGAGATAGTGGGTTTGGGGGTCTGGGCTCAGGAGCGGCCAGTCTCTCTGTCTCTCGCAATATGTGGATTGTATCCATTGGATGAATGGACCAACATAATGCTCTGGACTGCCCTAGAGAACCCCGAAAGTAAACGTTTTCTCTTCCTCCCTCAATGGTCACAATCCTCTCCACCGTCCTCTCCCTCCCTCCCAACCCTGCCCC